CCAACTATTGCTGGCCATTTGCCACCAATTGCAATTGGAGCATAATTAATAGGGCAAATTCAGACAACTTTTTCCAACACGCGTCTTCCGTCATTGCCAAGGGGTAGAGGGGGAGTCCCCGTTTAACACATTGGCGACAATGTCGCCCGATGCCGGGCGACACCCCTTGAATTTTATTCCTTTGCGCATATTCCAAATTTTGAGCGGTGCTATATTAACCCGGAATACGTTGTCAAACTTGTAATGGCCACGTTCTTTGAACATCTTTCACAGTGAAAGTTTTACAGAAGGGTTGCTTGGAATTGCTTCTTCAGTGATAAGGTTGTTCTTTCTTGATGTAGAAAGCTGCCTTTTTGTATGCTATTAGCTAGCTCAATGATACAACAATTGGCAAAAAAGAGATTTGTGTTCAACCTCATTTGTGGATTCTACAGTGGAAAATTGGAATTTTCCGAGAGCGTTCCGAAGTTTCACCTTTGCAGAATTTTGCTTGGTTTGCAGCCATTAAAGGAATCTTGCGCGGAAAATTCTTGCACTCTTTCCTAACATGAATATGTCAGTTGTGATCACTGGAAATAGCACACAAAGTTTCACGCATGAAGATTCGGTTTCTGAAGAGAAACAAACGTACAAAAACTACACGTTATGGACCATCGAAGGACCAGGAGGCAGAGCCAGGCGAGGCATGGAAAGAAGACGGCGTTTGGCCGGCTACGTACCAGGCGACGCAATGAGAGAATCGGGTTAAAGCGCGCGATTTCGGAGAGTGGAGACAAATCGATCGATGGATAGGATTAGATGAGTGTAGAGGTGGTAAGATATGCTATGGGGGATATTTTGGCAAATTGTTAGCATGAGAGGGCCCAGATAATGAGCTTCTAGTGAATGCAACTTCTAATTGATGAATAAGTTTTGAGTCATTCCCGTCCCTAGTCAGTTTCGGTGACGAGCGGTATCTTGGCTTCGAACGCTGCTTATCCCTTTTGCGAGTTGTTTCTGATTTTCGTAGGATCACTACAAAGCAATATTCTTCAGTTGCTTTTTGTCACTTTATTAATGCGTGAAATGTAGTTAATGCTAAATGCAGTAGTGATTTTTGCTGAACGATATTCCTGGATTTTTCCGCGTCCAGATTGTTTAATTGCATTTGTACGAGACAAGTGATGTTTCAGCAGTTCCGCATTGTGTTCTCATTGATTTGGTATGTACACCGTATGGAAGCGTTTCAGCATTAGGACGCAATTTTCGGGAACACCCAAAAAGTGCTTGGTCGCCAATGTGTTAAAACCCTCTTCTACGTTTTTTTTTTCTCATTATCGATGAACTCTTTACCTACACCTTCATTATCTACCGTTTTTAGCAGCGAATTCTTTCTGGAACTGTTGCTATAAAACCTCTGCCAGCAGCAATGTAAAAATTATATGCTGGCAAAAATGAATTTGGTGAAATTGTTTAGTAAGTTTCCCAAACACATACATACCCACATGTGTATGCCTCAGCCAAGTAGTAAGCTGCCTTTATGGAAGCCGCGCCGTATGAGTGAAACTGAGTAATTTTCCGGTCAAGCTAGCTCTGCTTAAATATTAGCGGACGTACTGTGACGGTCATGCGAACGGGTTTTTTCTAGAGCGGTGAGCATGATGTCCAACGTGGGGGGGGCGGGTCGCGTACTTGTGGTTTTTGGTGCGGTGCTTGGAGAAGCTGCTATTTGGATATGAGGCTGGTGCTCAACCGAGCGCTTGCAGAAAAGTCTTTTTGTTTCCCCAATACACTTTTGTACAGCCTTAGCATTCTATTAAACCGTGAAACGGCACAATTTTAGCGCCCCAACCAACTGCACCATCACTTCCCTTACTGTAACATTAACGCTACCTCGCGAAATACGACCCCCCTTTTCCACCCGAATACGACCCCCCCCCCCACTCCTCGTTAGACTTTGTCACGCTACGTGACCGTCGTGGATGACTTTCTCCATTGCCCTTCGGGATGCAGTAACTGTTCCATCCGGACGTCGGAGGCAGGTCATCTTGGTCTTGTAGCTGGCAAAGCGGCGGGCATTGCGGATGCTCCTCCCAGCCTCTGCTGCTTCAGCTAATACTGCTGCCCTTCGCTCTTGAGATCTTCAATTATCGTTTAAGCTCGCAAGCTCGGACGTGAGTTGATTGCCTGCAGCTCGTGCGGCTCCACGCCCGGCGTATCAGTTCGAGTTTCCGAAGACAGACGTCCCTTGGTGACTTTCAAACTCTCTGCCTTCCTGCCACAATCGTGAAGATGTTCCATGAGCCGATACAGTGCGCGTCAATTGTATATGCCACCCCCTGATTTTTTCAGTTTTCTGACTTATTTGGAAATTTCGTAAATCGGCATAGCAACCATCGTTTTCGGCGTGTCGGAAAACTAAGAATGGTGTTGTTTGATTACGAGTTCAGTGATGGGTACCAAACGGGTAGTAGGTACGAGTCATGTTCTCTCTAAAAAGAGACTTTGTGAGCGTGAACGCTTCGAGCTTCGCAGGGAGCCAAGACCACAAATAAAGTTGACCACGGATTCGAAGCGGGAAAATGAGAATTTAAGAGCTCCTTGAGCACTTCAATTTCCCCAGTTTTGCCTGGATACACTCCTCGATGAGTTCTACAATAAGCAGCAGGAGCGATCGCAAGAGTGAGCACACAGCTCTTTCTCTGATAAAGCGTTTTCATGCTGCTACCGTCCAGTATAAGGGCTAATATTCCGAACTAATTAGTTATAAATGCTCCACCATTTGTGTGCATTGCATAAGTGGAGGATTTCCTCATTTGTACTACATGCACACCGTAGCTGAATAGCGTTAGAGACATGAGAAATTCTGAAGAAACTTTAGGATGGCATAAGCAATTGACGCGGCCCATTTTCTTCAAAAGAACAGAGCAATTCAAATTTTTCCGACACGCCGAAAACGATGGTTGCTATGCCGATTTACGAAATTTCCAAATAAGTCAGAAAACTGAAAAAATTAGGGGGTGGCATATACAATTGACGCGCACTGTAGTACTCCTCGTCGATGTTTTCGATGACGGAATCCTCCCATAAGCTGACGAGGGAAGCGAAGTGGTCCCAGTTGATGACTGTCCTGGGGCTTCGCTTCCTGAACTTTGCTGCTCTCTCAACACGCATCGAGAAGTGGAATCTTGCGCGGAGGAGACGATGGTCCGATCCCGTGTAGAATTCGGAACATCTGAAGAACGCACCGCCAGTTATCATCAAAACTCTGGCTCGACTCTTCACGCGCTACCTGTCGGAATGCAAGGTACCCACTCCGTGGAAAACCAGCAGGACCGTGTTGCTGTACAAGAAGGGAGACTTGGACGACATTGGCAACTATCGCCCAATCTGCCTGCTGTCTGTAATCTACAAGCTATTCACTCGAGTCATCCTTAACAGGATCGGCAGAATACTAGATGAAGGACAGCCATGCGAGCAAGCAGGGTTTCGAAGAGGGTTCAGCACGATCGACCATATCCACACGGTTACAAGACTCATTGAAGTTTCACGAGAGTACAAGATGCCGCTTTGTCTCACGTTCATCGACTTGAAGAAGGCCTTCGACTCTGTGGAGACAGAAGCGGTCATCGAAGCCTTGGGCAACCAGGGCGTCCCTACTCAGTACATCAAGATTCTTCGTGAGCTCTACAGCAACTTTACGACCAGAATCTCACCATTCTACAAGGAGGTCATTTCGGCGTCAAGAGAGGGTTCGACAGGACGAGATTTCGACTGCGCCTGTGGTAAGGTCGGTCTGCAGCTGAACCTAACGAAGACGATGTTTATGAGAAACGGATTGGTTCCTGATGCCCCATTCACGCTCAACGGAACGAACATCACCGAATGCTCCAGCTACGTGTACCTAGGTCGGGAAATCAATATGATGAACGATCTAGCTCCAGAGCTGAGCAGGAGGAAACGAGCGGCTTGGGGAGCGTACAAGAACATCGAGGGAGTAGTGAAGACGAAGAACATCCGGCTCCGTGCCCACCTCTTCGATTCCGCTGTCCTTCCTGCCCTAACCTACGCCTCAGAGACTTGGACTCTGCGCAGGCAGGACGAGCATGCGGTCAGCGTTATCCAACGCGCTGTCGAGAGGACGATGCTAGGAGTAACCCTATACACGCAAGTGCAGAGGGGAATCCGGAGTTCGAACTACGCCAACGATCGAAGATCAGGGACGCTGCCGTTTTCGCCAAGGAATCGAAGATAAGGTGGGCCGGACACGTCATGCGATTTTGCGATGACCGTTGGACCAGAGCGGTTACCGACTGGATCCCTCGGGACGTCCGCCGGCCCGATGGTCAGACTTCTTCACGAAAGCTCTGAACGAAAGGAATGAAGGACTTCGTGTCCCTCGAGCGAGGAGGATCCACTGGACCACTCTAGCACGCGACAGGGACGAATGGAGACGTTGCTGGCGCCCGCTCGAGCAAATCGACGATCAACGGGACGACAGGTGATACTCTCGTTTAGATACGGCATTAACCTGAGAACACCCTGGTGTTGAATGTGGTCTCCATGTGCCAACATTGCCAACATGTGTACTTTCGTAGCCATTGTCCCTCAAGATTTGGTCCACCGCGACATCTACTTCTTCCCATCTTTGTGTGCATACTTTTTCTTTTGTTTTTAAAAGGTTGCGAACTACGTTAGCTTTAATATGCGGTATATTTCATAGTTTCATATATACTAAGAGATCGCTTTTGTTTATGAATTGATCAGAACTTATTTTAGGACTCTCAGTTCGAAAGCTACACTTTTTGTCTTAAATAAATTGTTTGGTGTGGTTCTTTACTGGAATGCACCCTTGAGGAGCTTCTTCGACCTTCGACTTTATCGTGAAAGCCTCCTTTAACTCGGCTCCAAAAAAGCTGTAAAGATAAAATGGGGAACACTCGAAGTTTTTAGATCTGATAACAGAGGTATCCTAACAAATGCTAATAATGTGGACAAAAAAAATCACAAAAACACCAACAAACCTCATCACGCGCATCGCGCACCGGATGGACTTCGTTTCGGTTTCCAGTGTTTCCCCCCTCACTGCTTGCAAGACTTTCTTCGCTATAGCTACATCGCTGAGGACTCTGTACGTGAGAAGTACGAGCAAGTGGAGCACTGCTAGTCGAGCTGCCTGACAGAACCGATGACACATCACTTGCACCTTAAAGCGATAATTTTTGATACATCTAGTCACAACAACACTTGGAAAAGGGAAACACACTGCCGTGCTTCAGTTTCATTCGGAGCACAACGCAGGGCCGTACCCTATCCCTACTCACGCTAGGGAAAGAAAAGATTCCTTTGATTTTCATCGACACAGCTTCCTTGCTGACAGTACACGTTTACTTTTACACACATATTTCTTGCTTTCAACACATGTTAACGTTTACACATATACCTACTTCTCAACCAGGCAATCTCTTACCAGGAAATTCTTTCAGGCTATGGAATTCTTTTTCAAAACAGTTTGTCGCATGTTATAAGTGCACATGCGTGAAGCACAAAATCGATGATCATCTTTCCTAAGCGGATTGCAGAAAACAGGCAGAACATTTTCCTTGAGAAATAAAACGATCCTATTTTCAATGATCTCGCGGCATTTGTAGCGTTGAATAGTTACATTTCGGAAGCTTTTTTTTTCACTGAATGAGCTTGAGCCTATATGAGCCCAAGAAAACGAAATCAGAGAAATACAAAAATGTCTTCAGTGAGGATCGAGCCACAAGCCCTGGTTTGTACGACCACCGCGAGTACGTTAACTCTCGGCACTAGTCTCGCACAGCACTGAGCCATGGTCAAGGAATTTCTCGACAGTTATTCACCCTGCTCGCTCCCAAAGATGATTTGCCTAACAGAGAAGGGAAGAATCACGTGTACTTCCCCACCTACAGCATTCCCAGAAGGCCTCTCTCGAAAACGAGGAATGACGAGTCGGCTTAGAGGAGGGGGGAGGGGATGCGGAGCAAAATAAGTCACTTACCCATGACTCAAAACAGCAAATTTCGTCGCAGAGTGCAGCCGTATGAAAGTTTTGTGAGAAGATATTCACTAGATATCTTCCATGAGCAGGACCAGGCCCTCCTTCACTGCTCCCACCGTCTTCAGAACAATTCATCAGTCATCGCCGTCGAGCTCAAACAGCCTACCGAAATCGCTCAATTCAATGCTGCTGCTTCATTTCATCAATCTTTACCTGTGCATAACTTTCTGAAGACAGAAGCTCTGCCTATACAAAACCCCTTCCGACCAGCGTTTCAGATTTTGTCTAATGGTCTACTATTTGTCGAGGAAATCGTTGTGCTCAAACCGCACACCATGTTCCCGTGAAGTTCTTCTGAAGCCTTCGGTGTAGAAGGCTCTTGCGAAGAGTTCCGACAGATTAAACGGTACTTCTCGATTTTCAAGCATTTGAATTGATTTTAGCAGTGTAATTAATTCCGTTTCAAAGTGGAGGGAAAAAGAATCCTTTTTTGCCCCCCCCCCCTGTATCTCAGGAGCACCTCGACCGCGAGCGATTGGCGAGTTGGACAAGCTCATTTTTGCATTCCTGCTCATGAGAGGTGCATATTATAATCTAGGAAAATCCCCACAGACAATTGCAATGACTACTACACGAAGTAGAATTGCAGCCCGTTACAAAGCGGAGTCCCTATGCCAAGAAGGAGATAATTCAATTCCTCTGATGCCCCACTGGGCCAGATTTTTCAAAGGAACCAGTAAGACGTCAAGTATGTTCTGTGCACAAACGCCAGAAAAAATTTCCCGAGCCGTTGTTTCCCGCAGGTTCCAAGAGAAACTTCATATTGTAATGGATATTACCCGACAACACTACAAGAAGATAGCGAAGAAGACGATACAGGAACTGGAGAGACTGAGCATCACCTGGCTGTCCCATTCGAGATATCGCCTACCTTTGTGATTACACTGCTTCAAGGGCCCAGGCTTACACCGGAGGGAAAAATTCAACGACGTCAGAATGCCAAGCCACAAATCGTGGCTAAACCGCGTTCTGGTTGCCTTCCTTCTGGCGATGAGGGTCAGTGCTCTACCCAATGATGGATAGACGTCGCGCATAAAGTGAGCCACCCTCTTGATTATTTATTTTACGCTTCATTGTGTAATTGTTGGCTAAACAAATTGACTGAATTTTTTCAAAATTTTCAGCACACATCATTACATTTTATATACATTACTAAGTTGGCCGCGCACGCAATCGCGTACATCACGAGGGACTGCACAGGAAAAAAACAGGTCCATTGATATTTTTATAATCCCTCCTGGCTAGTTCAACCACTTCGGCGCACACTCTATCCACCAATAGCACTTTACCCCTTCCCGTTTCCTCTACCCGACCAGAAGACCTATTTGAAGAACGGTTGATCATTTATAGCTAACTACTTTAGCCTTTCTCCTGGGAAGAAGCAGAATGAAAAGTATCAGGAAAAGCTGTGCTTTATCTTTTGCGTATTTTCCTGCTGTTCGTGGTAAATTCATTGAGTCAGTATATCAAGATAAAACTGGAGAATCCGATGTGCTCAAATAGCCCTGAAATTCTCTTTTTTGCGCATCAGATCCGTGGTCAACTTTATTTGTGGTCTCGGCTCCCGCGAAGCTCGAAGCGTTCACGCTCACAAAGTCTCTGTTCAGAGAGAACATGACTCGTACTTACCATTCCTGGTACCCATCGCTGAACTCGATCGGATTCGCCCCGAAAAAACTGGCACACCGTTTGTCCATGCCATCATCTCGACGTCCCCTACATTTTACTATGCCGCATGCTATCATTTTTGGCTCACTCAGTACGATGATTTTTCCAGAGATAAGAGTTCAGCGATAGGTACCAGGCGAGAGGCAAATACGAGTCATGTTCTTCTCGAACAAACTTCGGTGAGCGTGAACGCTTCGAGCTTCGCGGGAGCCGAGACCACAAATAAAGTTGACCACGGATCTGATGCGCAAAAAAATGAATTTTAGGGCCACTTGCACGTCGAATTCTCCAGTTTCATCTGGATATACTCCTCAATGGATTTCACCACGCACAGCAGGAGTTTAGCAAAAGATAAAACACTGCTCTCTCTCTCTCCAATAGTAACTTCATACTGCTGTTTTCCAGCATAAAAGACAATATCCAAAGTATAACAGTTTGTTATGAGTGGAGGATTTCCTCATTTCTGCTGCGTACATACCGCAGCTGCACAGTGTTGAAGAAATGAGGAATTCCGAAGAAGGCATGAACAATTGACGGAGTTAATTTTCTTACAGGAAATCCCAGCAACCTAACTCCCTGCGTTAATCAAAATCAACACTCCAAGTTTTCCAACACGCGGGAAGCGATGGTTGCTGTGCCGATTCATGAAAGTTTCCACCAAGTCAGAAATGTGAAAAATCAGGTGGTAGCATAAGCTGTTGAGGAGCAGTATATAAAGTATTTCAAAGAAACCAAACTACTGTGAATTACTGACCTATAGGATGGTTGTTCTGCAGTTGCACATCCTCCTGAACAATACGAAATCTATTTATTTGCTGATTGATGCTCTCAATCTCTTTTTCGTACTGGCAAAGTTGAGTTTCGCAGTCCGCAGGATTTCCCATTTTTGGATTGTCCGTGTAGACCTTAAATGAATGGTGACATAAACGAGTTCATAAAAATTTCTTGAATTTATTGATACCTAGTTCCTACGCCACAGCCGCGCTCAACTAAACTTTCACTCAAGAAAAAAAACAAGAAGACATGTGCAGGTCTGGCATGTGGGAAAGAGAATATGGGTACATGATAGGGTCGAGAAACAAAACACTAACGCTGAAAAATACCTAAATTGACCCAAACCGCAGGAAATAGCAATTTCAAAAAAAAAACGATGTAGATGCAAAATTTTAGACCTTTCGCGGCACAAAAATTTTTAAGCATTGATCTTTGAAAAAGGCGAATGCAAAAATTGGCTTACTAAGCACATGGCCTACCTGCGCGTGAGTGGACTTAAAAATAAACAGTCACGAAGTAATGTGAAAAAGTGCAACTTTCAGCAACCAACCTGTTTCATTTTAGCTAGTCCATCTCTGCTCTGTTGAATTTTCTCTCTCTCCTTCTCTAGATCGCGCAACTTTGCTTGAATGCGTCGTAGTCGTTGCTGTGGAGGAAGTTGCGCATAATCAGCGTTTGAATCCGACTAAAAATTTCTTCGACAATTTGAAAAACCATACGTCTGCACTTCTGTTTGTTTGTCTTTCTTTGCAGCTGGTGGAACAAATACTACGGCAAAGATTTAAATTAGGGATAAATTACTTTATTTGAGAGAGTTATTATTTCGTAAGGACTATTTTGCGTTTCTGACCCTGGATTTCAATTATCTAAACCTCGTAGTATCTCGACTCGAGGAAAACATTTTCAGTTGAAATAAGCTTATCAGAGTATACGAACCCCTATCAAGATGACAAGAACCAATTATCAGTAAGGTAAACTGGTTTCACCGTAATCCACGTTGAATTGGAGCACATAATTGAAAATTGGAGCGCGCGATTCACCAGCTAGAAGACGGCAAAGGTGAACTCCGTTTTAAATCGAGCAAGGAAAGCTCCTCAAAATGGCATGCGGAACGGAAACAGCTTGCATGAAGTTAAAACAAAATAAAGCATTCAAAAGTGAGCACAAAGAATAACAAGAACGCCTTTATGACCTAATACGCATGCCATTCAAGCATTGTTCCCAATTACATTACCAAGTGCTTGTCTTCACTAGTATGAGCTTCTGCTCTAGAACTTCAGAAGTTACAGGTAGCACATTGATTGAGGTGAGCAGGGCGGGCTAGGTGTGTAATGGCACATTACGCTACCAGTCATTCGTGGTTATTGTAGTGGAAAATGGAAGTGAGGCGTGAAGTGGATTCCCGCTGAAGAACAACAAGGAAAACTATCGGAACCATGAGAATAGGAGCCATCCTTCCTTTGAATGTATGAGATGCTTACGAAATAGACCGGGACGGTCTATGAGACAGTGAAGGTCGATGCAAGGGATTAAACGAGAGAGACGAGAAAGCAGAGCAGACGAGCAAGAGCATAGATACTCGCTGCAAGGATCGCTGCTTCACAAGCTAGGAGACGATCAGCAATCACTGCAACAAGACCCAAGCACCCTTGACGCACGCTTTTGAAGAAGTAGCAAACCTTCGCGCTTGAGAGCCTCACCACTTCAATCATGGACAATCGTTCTGATCGACAATGGCAAAATGGGTCCTAAAACTTTTCAAGCAGAATCAAATCTTACTTACTTACTTCTCGACCGCTATTCGTCCCGGGCACGCCAGAAACGCAGGTCGCACATCTTCCAGGCCGCTCTGCTTCGGGCTCTTCTGCGCCACAGCTGGCCGTACAATTTCACGAGAGGGTCTGCCCATCGGGTGGGGGGTCTGCCTCTGGGCCTTGTTTTTCCCCTTGGGTACCAGTCAGTCACTCTCTTCGTCCAGCGATCATCGGTAAGTCTAGCCACATGACCGGCCCACCTCCGCTTGGAATTGTAGATGGCATCGACGACGTCCTTCACCATCGTGGTGAGCGCGAATGGTGTCATTGGGTCCAGCCAAAATGCGTGCGGCCGCCAACGGGTTAAGACTCAGATGTGATGAATGGAATTCTTTGGAAAAAAATTATAGTTCTCTGTAAGAACACTTTTGAAGCCCCACAGTCTCTGGAACATCAGACTTGCCACATCAACCTTCGGAACAAACTAATCTGTTATCGTCTTGGCGTCAAAAACGCTAGCAATAACTAATGCACGCTAACAGACTCACTTTGTGTTTATCACCACCACCAAAAATTTTTTGATGCATTGACTGTTTGCGAGATACAGCTTTGGCGTCCTTCTTGCTTCCACTCGGCGTTCCCTTCTTCAAAGTAGCGTCTCCGTGCGAGACATCTGAAGCGTTCACTGTCTAAGAGTAAAAGTTGTTCACAAAAAAATAGTTTGTCGAAAAAGTCTTTGGCCATTCACGTGTGCATGTTAGGAATCTTTAAGGGTCGTTTTGAAACATTGACTGTAGAGTGTGTGTAAATGTTGGTCAATTTTCTTTCCAGGCCCTTTCTGCTGTTTTCTTTCCAGGACCTTTCTGCCTTCTCTCGAGATAAACTAAGTGTGGCAAAGCGTTCAGTTATGAAGCTAGAGGTGGGAGGTGGTCTGGAAAAGAGAAGGAAAGCAAACGAAACCACCGATTACGCCCGCACAGACCTCCCTATTTCAGCCGCATTCCACCTTGGGATAGAGAAGAGGCGCGTTGGACGAGTTTCACGAACCTAACTCTAGTTGCTCCAGTGCCAATGACATTGGGTCGCAATGGGACCGCTGCCTCAAATGCGCCCACGCTTTTCAGGAGCTTGCGCACGAAGGTGTCGGTTGGATCCCACGAGCTCTTTGCGCCTTTGTCACGCACCCTGAGTGGTATTTTTTGTTTGCTTATGCAATTTTCTTACATGCGGCAAAAGGAGCGCGACATCTACGCTCGCCTGTCTACTACTCCCAGGATGGAACAGGAGAGCGCGCCTAATTCCGTGCCTTTAAAAGGCGTTTTTCACTGAAAGCATGCTTGACTGCTGCTCTTTTTTATAAGACCAGAAACTGTGTCAATGAAAATGATACGGCAAGAGGTTCACGTGTTGTATGGAACAGTAGACTGTCTCTCACAACATGGCAAATAAATATTTGGTGCCGATGTCCAGAATCCCAGATCGTGTCGGCCTGTTACATTGAATGAAAATCTTCTGAAGCTGTTTGGAAAGAGTCCCGGGCAGGGTCAACCGTCACGTTCGCACTTTGCCTAAAATTTTGCGACCCCCCCCCCTCCCCTTGAGGATTGTGAGGTGACCGCCTCCCTTTACAGGGGTGTCGACACGAGGGCGGTACATCGATACTTATCAGAAGTACACTTCAAATGACCAGTTACATGTCACGAGCGCTCTCATTCTTATCTTAAGTGAAGAAACAATAGTGCCTTCCGCCCTAAATGGATTTTCACTGGTGAACAGTAATATAGGCAAATGCGTGGACGCCCGGCACTATGATCAGAACACAGAACTTTATCGTGGTAAGGCCTGTCCACGCATTGCGAAGCACGTTCAGCAAGTCTCCAACCCTCTCATGGGACATTCCGACACGCCTGGTTCAACAGCCTAACTGACGTCTGCCATCTGTCTCAATACTGTCGAAAAGGTGAAACGGGGATGTTCGATAATTTAGACCTATTGCATTGTGTGTCTGTACATTTCGGCCCATTTTTCATTTATTTATTCGAATCGAGATCACATTGTTTCGATGTGTCGTTGCATGCTTCTTCTCCATAAAATAGGGTCGTTCCTAGCAATTCTTTGGCCAGTAGTCCACCCCATTTCTGTCCCGGCCTCTTGAGGTAATGTCGAACTTCAGTGACACAGAAAGACCCAAGCCAGACAGTCATGGCGCTCATTTATGCTTCATAATTAGCGGCGAGGTACGTATGCACTGCAGATTTCACAACGAAATCAAGGACGGCGTTCAAAAAAAACCTGGCAATTAATATTCATAGTGACTGCTGATAGCAGGTAAATGATAGCTGTAATCAGGGGCAATTAATAGGACACGATTGCCATCGGCTTGTTATTTTGCCAGCAGAAACTTGTATTACATTTTGAGGAGGTCTACGCGCTAGCGCTGTAATATCTGCAGTGTACACGCACCTGGACACGGCTTCAAAGAGTATACTATCAATTAGTGAGCTGTTCGCATTTATATACAGTAGGAAGTACCACATTTGAAAACCATTAACATTCAATGTCCCTTACACCACAGCATACATCGCAGCATACACATTTCATTTCCGTCATGGTTTCTTACAAACTTTTCTTCTTAAACATGTTGTGATGTTATATCTTACGAATTGAAACGCCCAATCCTTCTTAAACGGGCAAGGTTAGTTGCGTTGCATGGTAGCATTAGATGATATATGACGCGAAGAACGCGCAAATGGGCTGAAAAAAAGAGAGGACGAAACAGCATTCCTTGTGCAGAAACCTACCACCACATGCCACCATTCATAAAACACTGATTATTTGAACACAAGAAAGAAACTGTAAAGATGTACCTCCTCCACCACTCAGACAACTATCGGGGCGACCCAAGTCTTCAAACTGTATAGGAGGAGGGTGCATGTATCCAGTTCTGAAACGGAAAGTCTCCAATTCACTGCAAAACTCCAGAAGAGAGAAAGAGAATAAATTCTAACATCCTTTAATATACATGTACATGTCACAAGACCAGGAAATAAATAGTCCATCGCATTTGAGAAGGAATGGAACTCCATAGAACTATTTTTGTGATTTTATCCATCAATTGACCTGCCATTTGTGGACCGCAAACATGTTCGTAAATCAACTTTGATACGGAGTTGAGTATGTGACGAACAAGCCAGAATTCGAGCTACATTTGCTCTTTATTTCTCCGTTGCAAAAAGATTATATTTATGATAAACACCAACTGCTTCTTCCGCATTTTCTTAAGTGACTGAAAAAGTGGGTTGGCGTTTTGTTTTTGTAAACGACCTAGGATGAGTCTTATTAGCTGGATGAGCACCAGGCCACATTTTACGTTTCAAGTTTCCACTCCTTCAAGGTTGAGGATTCGCTTCGTTTCTAGCAGAACTTACACTGGTGTGCAAATCTTCAAATTTAAGCTCCTTCTGAAAAGCTGCATGCTCCGCCTACCAGAAGCCGTCGACTTCCATACCTTCGCCAACTTCTGCCCACTTTTTCCGGTCTTCGGGACTTATTCAAACCGAATTATAAGCTTCGCAAGGATCTCCGCCTACTTGGCACACGCCACGACTAGCACTACATCCAAGCCGCCTCTTCTAACC